CACAACAGCTCTCTCTGCCAAACTTTGAGTTTCTTCTATGAAGCATGTAGGCACTGGGGTTTCTCTGAGGAAAAACAAACAGTGTTCTCTTTGTTGTTGAGTCAAGTGATGTGCTATTCTCTGGTCTTTCTGCCAAAGGAGCAGAACCACTGTGAATGAACTTTTCCCACTTGTTTTGAGGATTAGCTATGTTTTAATGAACTGGAAACACTAATAGCAGAAGCCGAGGAATTAAGACTATCAGTATCATCTATAATTACCTCTTGTTAGCTGTATAAGCAACATCAAGCACTAATTAAAGCTGCAAGGTAAATAATAGATTTCACAATGTCGTATATGTGGTCTTTTCTCTCTGATGTACAAAATGTCATATTATTGCATGAGAGGAGTTTAAAATGTATCCCTTATTTAAAGCAGGGCAGATTGTAGGTCATTTATCCTAATCTCTGGGCATTATTACTAAATTCAGTGTCAACACTGTGCTTCCCTGAATAAGCTGATTGGCCAGAGGGATATGTTTAGTAACCTAGAAATTGATTTTTCAAGAATACCAAGTTGTTACTTATAGTTATGCAACTCTGATGTCAGACCACACTTTGGCCACCCTCTTGCTGTCTCCTCTCTGCCAAGGTAGAGCACTTTAATTGCTTGCTTTCCTATCAAAACGTTTTCAGCACGGTGAACTCCTGGACTTTAGGTAGGGGATAGAGTTATGAAACTCCCACTGAAATGATTGTTAGCTGGTTGCAAGGCTCGGTGTCTCCTGGTAAGCTTTGCATATCTCACTGATGGCATGTGGAAGAGATAAACATGTAGATGGCTTAGTACCATCAGTACTAAGCTGTCTTTGTACCAATAGTTTATTTAAAATCGCCTAGTGGAGGGAGGGAGCCATTGGCTACCAGCCCTCCATCGGCAATCCCTGCCCTCCCATCCCGGCCAGGAGGCATGCGAGGGGTGGAAGGAACATATTGGAGTGGGAGGGAAAGACACCAGAGAACAAACTGTTCATTCAAGTGGCTTGCTTGGAGCAATTTTTCAGGGGGATAAATCAGAACAAACCCAAAGCTGCTGTAATAAATCAAGGGCTGATACACTTCATGGAAGTCCCCAAGACCGATGAGGGGGGCGTAACACTTCTCCCTTCTTCTGCCTTCTCTGAGCTGATCCACTGCACCAAACATCTCCTGGTGTACCACAGACTAATCTTAGGTCTACCAAGTCCAGACCAACCTTGTACTGGGGTTACCAGTGAGGTTGTTTACCATCGTTCCCATTAATCTGTAAATCTACAGTCTCTTTTGCAAGCATGCCACAAAGTGCCGTGTCTGCCTAAGGGAACGATTAACCCAGCCAGATGGTGTTAATCAGTGTGCTGAGCCATGGCCAACCCTGCTCTCTCCACCTCTCCCAGATGGCTGGGCAAACTAGCACTTGCTGGTGGGGAAATACACCAGGAGGCACCATTTAGAGACTATTCTGGGATATCGGGCAGAAGAAACTCGCTGACACCCCTTCATCTGTGTAGTGTGGGCTGAGTGCCCTGGGGCTCTGCAGAGAGAGGTTGGCGGAGCTTGAGCTGGCTGAGGAGCCTACCACCCTTAGTTGTCAACCCTGCCCAAAGAACCAGGCTGCTCACAGACAGCTGCTGAACCACAGGTTCAAGAGCACGGTGCTATAAAGGAAACCATTACCCGAAGATGTCACTGAACTGGGGCAGCCTCAGAGCTGAATCAGAAGTGACTCAGCCAGCCGTGCGGCGAGAGCACGCTTACTTGGGAGAGCAGCTTCACCAGCCATCCCTGAGCCAGGTCACCCCCTCGTACTAATTCCCTGTCACCGAGAACGAGCACACACCAGCACAGCATACAAATAGCACCCCTCAGCCAAGAAAAGCTGTTTGCCTGCCAGTCACAAAGGGTTTTCCATTCCTGTATAAGCTCCGCTCCAAAGCTTTCCAGCTTTGAGTTTTCCTGTTGACACTCGGAGAAGGATGTCCTTACAGAAATCAGGAGTGAGACTGTAGCTGCCAATTTATTTTTTTTTTTTCCTAGCAAATATTGATTACTTGCAAGCTTGTGTCCCCTCTCCCTCTGCTTCCCTATCACTTAATGGACTGGACTGCTCCATTTCCAAAGAGACAATGGAAACCACTAGCTGATGGCCAAATGTCTTTTCTCAACCAGCGGGAGGGAAGAGTTAAGGCTGGCAGCAGTTGACAGCTGAACATCTGTGAATACAGCACGTGAGAGAGAAAAAACATGCTCTTACATGGTTTTACCATCTCTTAATTTTGTTAGTTTGGTAGAGGATATTATTTTGTTATAAAGAACCTCATAATTTGATGTAAATACAAGCCTCAATGCATTTCCTTGGTCAAATTTCCAAAATTCCTTGTGTCATCAGAAGCGGGAAGACTCTCCATTACATCCTTGAGTGTGTTCATTTATGACCTCACCAAATCAACTGAATAAAATAGAAGAGGACGAAGCATCCAATTCTCCTTCCTATAAGTGAGAGTTGGCTGTAAGAAGAACACATGGTGGCATCAAGAAGCCCTCCCCACCACCAGGAATCTGAAAAGCTGGTGCCATTGCTACATCCATAGCTAAAGGAAGAGAGTCACCAGAACAGCAGGTACGCAGTGACAGTAACATAAACTTATTTAACAGTAGGTCACTTAGGTTAAGATCTTGGGAATGCGGAGAAGTACTAGCATGGTTTCTAAGTCACGAAATGTTATTTCCTTTCCAAGAGCCCAATGTTACTCCATTTCATTCACGACCTGCGGCTGATTCCACCTGGGGATACTCTCACTGAAGAAAGGGCAATGTAGCACTAACTCTATAAGCTCATTTGATTCAGTGGAGTAGTATCTTCTCTTTTCAATATAGAAAGCCCCTCCGTACACACTTTTAGTCATAAAAACGAGTTAATGACCATTTACCTTGGAGAGCTTGGGTTTTTTTCTGGAAACGAAGCTGAATAAATGCCTCTCCCAGGACCTCTTATTTGTTACGCCAAAGCTTCTCTCTCCCTCCTTTCTCCACTCTAGTGCCAATATTTATTATTGTGCTGCCAGATGCACACAGGTACATCTCCACCATTCCTCACCACCTCCCACGCCTCCTCACACCACGCTCAGGTAGAAGGAGCTGCTGTTTTGAACAGGCGGGATGGCGGTCACGTTACCCTCTGCCAAGCTCTCCAGCAGTATTTCCAAACTCCTTGACTCTATAGTTTTTGCTACTGGGAACAATGAGACAAATTCAACCTAATGGACCACACACCCCTTCACTGGGGCAAACAGACACACTGCACTGAAGTCAAATGATCTTAAGCAGGAGAAGTGGGGCACTGCACACAAAAATAAGTGCTTATGCTCAGATTCATTGTAAAATAGAGCTGGAAGAGACCACACAAGGTTCCTAATCTTTCCTTCTGCCTCAGGAGCGTACCTGCCAAATCTATGTCTGTCTTGGTATGGTGTGTCAAAAGTTTTTAAAGACTTCCAATGATGGAGATGCTTCATTCTCCCTGGATAACCCTGTCTATAGTGTTTTACCATCCATCCCACTCAGAAGGTTTTTCTTAATATCTAATATGAACTTTTCTTGCTACAATTTAACTTATTCTGTAGTATTTTGTCCAAATGAGCACAAAGTTTCTCTTTACAGAACCTCCTGTTCCCCCAACTTAGATGGGTTTTTGGGTGAGCAACCCCAAATTTTCTTCACAGCTATATTTTCTAGCCCTCTGATTGTCAATATCTCTATCCTTAGGCTCTCCTCCACCAGCAGGCCCTTGAAGGCCCAGAAGTGTACACAGCTCCAGCTAAGGGCTGGAGTAGTGACTAAATTAGGTGGTTTAATTCATAGAATGGTTAGAGTTGGAAGGGACCTTAAAGATCATCGAGTTCCAACCCCCCTGCCATGGGCAGGGACACCTCCCACCAGACCAGGTTGCTCCAAGCCCCATCCAGCCTGGCCTTGGACACCTCCAGGGATGGGGCAGCCACAGCTTCTCTGGGCAACCTGTTCCATTGCCTCACCACCCTAGGAAAGAATTTCTTTCTGGTATCTAATCTAAATCTCCTTTCTTTCAGTTTAAAACCATTCCCCCTTGTCCTATTGCTCCAATCCCTGATGAAGAGTCCCTCCCCATCTCTCCTGTAGGCCTCGCAAACTGTGCTCCTCTTTTACCCCTGAATTGCTTTTACCTTTGTCACATGTATAAGACAATGCCATTGTTGAAAGATGCTATTTTATAAAGCATTATAATTCCCATATCCTTTTTTACAAAAAACGTTATATAACTGTTTATTCCCCACCCTGCGTGTGTGTGGCTGCACAGCATCCTTCTCTCTGTGGCTCCTGGCCTTTGCTTCTCCTGATTTTCATTCTACTATTTCAGCCCCTTCCTGTGATCCCCAAATTCTTTTAATTTATGACCCAATCCCCCAGCACACCCCAGAGTCCCTCCTAGCCTCGTGTAATGTGAAAACATTCACACTCTTCATCACTGGCCATTCACAGGGAGAGAAGACAGGGCCCAGGCAGAGGAGAAACCTGGGTGAGGTCTGTCCCTTTTGACCCCAGACTTGCCAGCCCCTCTGGTTTCCTAGCCACAATCCCAGCATCGTTTGAGGGCAGCTTTAGCCCACCTTCCCCCAGCCTGCCATGGCAGCGGAGGGTGCCCAGCACAGGGGAATGCCGCTGGAAATGGCTTTTATCGATAACAGACGGAGATTAATAGGTGAAGGTAGAAGCAGAGGCGCTGCCGGATCACGTTGCCCCCTCCCGGGGACCGAGCACAGCAGCCGCCCCCACCCGTCGCGGGGCCTGAAGACGCCCCCGGGGCTGGGGCGGCCGTTCCCGGCCCCGGTGCCCGTCCAACCCCCCTCCCCGTGAAGGCGGCCTGGCTTCCCCCCACCCCCGCCCTCGGAACCCCGACCGTAAGGCGGGCGAGCAGAGGGCCCCGGGGTAAAACCGCGCCCGTACCGGTAATAACGGTCATCCCTGTAGGGGGTGAGGTCCTCCTTGATCTCCCGGTAGGTCTCCCGCACCCGCCGGCAGAACCGCTTGACCTCGCCGCACAGCGGGCTCCCGAAGGCGGCGAAATCCGCCTCCATGCCTCCTCCTCCTCCCCGCCGCCGCCGCCGCCGCCGCCCTCAGGCTACCCGCGCTCCGCCATGGCGGCCCTTCCCCCCCGCCATCCCCACGCCGAGAGCCCGCCCGGCGCTGCGCGGCCGCGGGGAGGGGGCGGCGGAAGGGGGCGGGCCCTCGGCGTAACCCTCCGCGCCCGCGGGAGCCGCTTCAGCACCACGGAGAGGGGCGGCCGCTCCCCCTCCCGCTGAGGAGGAAGACCTGGGAGTCCTGGTGGACAACAGGGTGACCATGAGCCAGCGATGTGACCCTGTGGTCAAGAAGGCCAAAGGCATCCTGGGGTGTATCAAGAAGAGTGTGGTCGGCAGGTCAAGAGAGGTCATCCTGCCCCTCTGCTCTGCCCTGGTGGGCCCCATCTGGAGCACTGGGTCCAGTTCTGGACTCCCCAGTTCAAGAAGGACAGGGAACTGCTGGAGAGGGGACAGCAGAGGGTTACAAAGATGATGAGGGGCCTGGAGCATCTCTCTTATGAGGAGAGGCTGAGGGACTTGGGTCTTTTTAGTCTGGAGAAGAGAAGGCTGAGGGGGGATCTGATCAATGCTTATAATCATAGAATCATAGAATGTTTAGGGTTGGAAGGGATCTCAAAGATCATTGAGTTCCAACCCCCCTGCCATGGGCAGGGACACCTCCCACTAGAGCAGGTTGCTCAAAGCCCCATCCAGCCTGGCCTTGAACCCCTCCAGGGATGGGGCAGGCACGAGTTCCCTGGGCAACCTGTTGCAGTGTCTCACCACCCTCATAGTAAAAAAATTCGTCCTGATATCTAATCTGAATCTTTTTTCTTCCAATTTAAAACCATTTCCCCTTGTCCTATCACTACACCTCCTGGCAAAGAGTCCCTCTCCAGCTCTTCTGTAGGCACCTTTCTCTTCTCCAGGCTGAACAACCCCAGCTCCCTCAGCCTGTCTTCATAGGAGAGGTGCTCCATCCCTCTGATCATCTTTGTGGCCCTCTGCTGCACCTGTTCCAGCCATAAGTATAAATACTTAAAGGGTGGGTGTCAAGAGGATGGGGCCAGTCTTTTTTCAGTGGTGCCCAGGGATAGGACTAGAGGAAATGGGCACAAACTTGAACATAAGAAGTTCCACCTAAACATGAGGAGGAACTTCTTCATTTTGAGGATGGCAGAACAATGGAACAGGCTGCCCAGAGAGACGGTGGAATTTCCATCTCTGGAGACATTCAAAACCCACCTGGCCAAGTTCCTGTGCGACCTGCTCTAGGTGGACCTGCTCTGGCAGGGGGGTTGGACTAGATGATCTCCAGAGGTCCCTTCCAACCCCATGTGATTCTGTGATTCTGTGAAAACATCCGATATTTCACTTTTTTTTCTTTAAATAAAACTGTTTCATTCTTAAGAGCCTACCAGCTCAATTTAAAATCAACGTCCTGGGGTTTATTGCCTCCTTATTCCACTGAAATAAGGCAAATTTCCACCACCAAAGGCGGACTAACATGCGCAAAAGAAATCCTACACTATATCCACTTCCCACAGCCATAATGCTGTAAATGATCTCATGTTCAGAATGAGCTGTTTAGATTTCCAGAGTGGCTTCTGCTGAGATCCAGTCAATTTGCAGAGTGCCACGTTAGCTCCATTTGTATTAAAGTCTTCTTCGTAACCAAATTCACATTTAAACTATTTTTTAAATTATTCTGTCAATTCAAACCTTAATAATCCCCATGAATTAATGGCAATGTTGGTATCCATATTAAATATGAAAATACATTGCTATGTCCTTATTGTTTCTAGAGAGTGTAAATAAAGAAGTATGCTATACAGTCCCTCCCATCTTCCCCATTCGTGTTCAGGAAGCTGGGCTGGGTTTTTCTACAGCATTGCCCGAACTCTGTGTTTTATCACCTACTAGACCTTACACTTTTACTTAAAAACCCACTTCATTGTCTCACCAATATGTGATGACAAGAGGTTATTCCCAATGGCACAGTGGGAGAAGGACAGTATGTCTCCTCCAGCAGGCAGAAAGATCACCTTTGACTGAGAATTTCTATTTCTTAACTCTGAATATTCCTAACCCTGAGACGACATAGCAACAAGATAAAAGGCACACGGACATTTAGGATGGAGACTAGAAGATTCCTGACAACCATGGGACTGTCGCTCTGGGCCAGTCTCCACAGAGAAGCAAAGAACCTGGCCAGCATCAGGGTAGAGCTTGACCAGCTTCTGAGTGGCTGCTTTGGAACCTCAGGACAGGCTCAGAAAGTCCCTCACACTTCTGAGGCTGGCTGTGTGCTACAACTTGCCCAGCACCCTGCTTGCTACAGCACATGTGGCTGATGTAGTCACCTAGGATTTTCCTGGAAGTGTTTATTTCCGTGTAAATGTTTCATTTGTGATTTAAGATTTAGCCATGTTTTCCTCAAAGCAAGAATTAAAATTAATTGTTAAGTGTGATGAATGCGCTGCTCCCCACTCTCAGGCTCAGAGGTAGGAATTATCAATGGGATCTTTAAATATTTACCAAAAGGAGGAAATTAAACATTTAAAGCTTTAGCTGAGTAAAAACACATTTACTGCTGGGAGTTATGCAAGTAATGTAGCGGTAATAAGAAATAGGCTCAAAGATTAAAAACTGATTACCATTTAATTACTTACAACTAAGTGACCTCTATTGTATTTATTCACACACACACACACCCCTTAAAAACCGAGGGTTTGCTTGAGGGTGCACAACAGCACCATGAGAGAGATGCAATCTAGTTTCCTCCCTGCTGTGCTGAACATTATCCAGACCAGCTTCAAACTGTCCCTATCCCCTGCACCTCGAGTGCCACGGGAGGAAATCCCAGCCCCCGTGGAAGGCTGAGTCAGGCCTGCAGGTTGCTTGCACAGAGAAAGTGTTAGCACTGGTGTACTAACCCACCAACTTCTGCTATCAAAATACCCTAACTAATTGTTTCAACTAACAATTAGCAAACATCGAGCCAGCAATGTGTCCTTGTGGCCAAGAAGGCCAATGGTATCCTGGGGTGCACTAAAAAGAATGTGGCCAACAGGTTGAAGGAGGTCATCCTCCCCCTCTACTCTACCCTGAAGGGGACACATCTGGAGTACTGTGTCCAGTTCTGGGCCCCCAAATTCAAGAAGGACAGGGAACTACTGGAGAGAGTCCAGCAGAGGGCTATGAAGAGGATGAAAGGAATGGAGCACCTCTCTTAGGAGGAAAGGCTGTTTAGCCTGGAGAAGAGAAGACTGAGAGGGGTTCTCGCCAATGCTCTCGCCAATCAGTATCTAAAGGACAGGAGGATGGGGTCAGGCTCTTCTCAGTATACAGAGTTGTCTGCATGCATCAGATTCCAGTGCATGGCCTCCTCTGCCTGGGAAACAACCAGACACAGAGAGCACACAGGGCTGTTCCAGCATTGCCCACCTTGTGCAGCCAGAAAGCACCCAAGGACAACCCAAGGGCTGAGCACATGGGTGGTCAATGAAGCTCAGACACCTGAAAGCAACTTTGGAAATTCTTTAAACAGACTTTTAGTATCAACCAGGCACTTCTATTAAAACTGCCAGTCTATTTTCTTTTGTCAAAACCTAATGAAGGGAACATTTCAATTAGCTGCTTACCTACCCCTAGCCCTGCAGGTGCTAACAGATCATGCTTCTACCCTCATCTGTTGTTCTTCTTTCTCGTCCAGTCCAGTCATGGCACAGATTGGGCTGGCACAGGAAAGCGTCGATCATGCTTCTACCCTCATCTGTTGTTCTTTCCTGTCCATTGCTGTCACGGCACAGACTGGGCTGGCACAGGAAAGCGTTTGGTTCTGCAGGAAGCACGACTTCAGTAAAAGCAAAGGGAGGCCAAGGTTTCATAGACAAGAGTCCCAAACAAGATGCAAGTGTAACCAACAACTGCTTGCACTGGAGCTCTGGGAAGTATGACTTCCCCCATCCGTTTCAGGGCACCCTGATGCATCTCTCCAAGCACAGCGTCTTCTGCATCAACCTTGGCTCGCTGCTTTTCACAGCACACAATTAAAGAGAGGCAGCATCAAACCACATCTAAGAACAAACCAACCTGAAGTAATACTGAGAGTCCTATAAATCTCAGTTAGAATTTAAGCATCTGAAACTCAATTAATCCCCTGGGTGCTTCTAGACTTCACGAGGGAGAGAAAAGCCTCAAGCGTCTAAGACTAAGATGTGATCAAACTCAACATCTGCTCCATGCACTCATTGTACCACGTCTCAGGGACTGAGTTTATTTTGAGGGTGGAGTTTAACAGAAGTCCCCCACATAATTTTTCTTCCTGATTCTCCCCCCGTGTACAGTGTACAGTTACAGCATCAGCCACACGTATTAAATTGTGATAGTAGCTAAACACAAAGCTTGGCAATCCACGTAAAAGCACCAGGATTATTACTCTGGGCTCTTTCAGAAGCAATAGCAGCTGGTACTGAGAAGTCAAGGGAACAAATGGTGCCAACTCAAGTCCCTCTTTTTTATCAGCAGAGGAACAAACCCCACAAACAAGCAGAATTCTAGCTGCTGAGCAAATACTTTCTCCTTCAAAATTGTTTTGAGCCAGAGAAAGGCAGAGGTGGCAGCTGCTGGCTGAAAAGAACAACTGCCTTTTTTCTTCCGAGTGGAGTTAAGGGCTGGCACATCAGATGGCACAGAGACAAGCACACATCCATACTGACTCTCCTGAGATAAGAGTCTATGCTGCTGATATCCAGCTGCAAATATGCTTCTGAGTTTTGCCTCAAAGAGGAGCTGTCAGGAAGCATCCCCAAAATCGCATAGTAGAAACCGCGCTAAGCCCCACAGAAACCCCAGGACTTTGGTCCACCTTGCCCTCTTCTTCCCTGCTGCCTTCATTCTGGAAGAGAACCACCCCTGCCTCACCCCATCATGGCATGACTGTCTCCTCCTGTCAGGAAACTACTTTGTCACAGCTAATCAGTTATGTGACAACAACTGCTGCCACATCGCCC